GGGCCCCCAATGGGGCTGAAGCAGCCCCTCCTGGAGCTGCTCCAGTCCCCATCAGTTGATGGTTAACCGGAACTGGTAAGCATCACCTGTAAGGGTGATGCTTACTGGTTAACCAGATAGCCAGTTAATTGATGGGCCCCCAATGGGGCTGAAGCAGCCCCTCCTGGAGCTGCTCCAGTCCCCATCAGTTGATGGTTAACCGGAACTGGTAAGCATCACCTGTAAGGGTGATGCTTACTGGTTAACCAGATAGCCAGTTAATCTTTCACATCCCTACTTCCAGACAGCATTTCAAGCCAGGAAAGGAAAAAATGGGTTTGGGATTAAGGCACTGAACTGGGACTCGGAAGACCTGGGATCAGGTACCAGCTCTGCTACTGACTCAGGAGAACCTTGGGAAAGTCACTTTGTCTCGCTAGGCCTGTTTCCCATCTGTTAAAAGGGGTAAAATATCCCCCCCACCCCACACACTGTTGTCAGATTGTGGGGCAGGGACCATAGGCTACTGTACGTGTCCAGCACAATCAGGCCCTGATCTCAGTTAGAGCCTCATGCTACCCTAAAACAAGTAATCAGAGGCCAGGTAACTAAGTCTAGCTCTTGGCTCAGCTGAGCGTGCTCTTGCCAATCCCCTCCCTCCCTCCTCCACATTCCATGTCCAGGCATTTCCTTATCGTAGGAGATGGAAGGGTGACAGGACTTTGCAAAGGGGCTGCAGCCTCCTCCTACGCGGTTATGCAGCCAAGAATCTCTGTGGGCTCCCATTTGCTGGTGAGTACCGAGAGCTCAGGCCCCGCCACAGTCACCTAAAACTGGGAAACTGAGGCACGGGGCGATGTGAGGGGGCCAGGCAGAGGCCACCTGGCTCCCAGTCTGCCACTCTAACCACCGGCTTTTTCTCCCTAACGCGTCCATCTCCTGTGTGTAGCCAAAGGCACTTCCTGGCTCACGGGGCCATTTCTCGCCCCCGGGGTGGCTCAAAGCTTGGAGGAGGCTTGGAGAGCCGAGGGGCCCGGTCCCCACCCACCTTGAGGGCCTGCAGGTCCGGCAGGTCGGTGTGGCAGCACAGGAGGACGTTGTTGGTCATGCTGAAGCTCTCCCGCACCCCCAGGTGGTAGAAAAGGGAGGGCTGGCACAAGGAGTTGCTCACTTCCACCACGGCCACATCTGCGGGGAAGCAGCAAGGGAAGCAGCAGCCCCCCGCCTGCGCCGCTCGCCTCCTTTCACGCACCCGCATGTGGATGAGGACAGGGCTGGGGGAATCCCCCACGATCCCCTCCCCCAGGCCTCCCGCCCCAGGGAGACTCACGTTGCAGGCTTAGAACGTCCTAGTGTTGGGGATACAGGGGCCTGGAGCAGCACCAGCCCACAGGGCCAATGGCCAGGCCTGGCCCTCGCCCCAGATGCTGCATGTCACACTCACAGGCCACCCTGGTCTCTATTTCTGCCGGCCAGGGACCCCCCTCGTGCCGCTCCACTGCTCCCCTCCAGGCCCTGCAACATGGAGCCTGCGAACCTGGCTGCCTGCTGCACACAGACAGCCACGCCCCGGTACTCAGCACGCTCAGAAGCAGGCCTTCAGAGGCTGCATCCCCAGCAGGGCTCCTGCAGGCAGCCACCATCACTGATTCAACCCTGCCTCCATCTGCCATGGCGGCTGGCAAGGCAGCACAGCAGAGCGGACCCAACGCGCCGCAA